GGAACTAATGGGAAATTAGGTAGGGTCTTGGCTTTGGAGGAAACTGTTGGGGGTAAGATTCTGATTTTAGTTTAGGTTGATGTCAGAGTCTGCTTCTTAGGGAACATGAGAGGGAAAAGTTCTACTAAAGTTTTCTGCAACTATGATCTGGAAATATATAAGACCTAAAGAGAAAGGTGGAATGGTTCTCGGTCTTGTCACAATTTGGAAGGAGAGGTGTCGGAGAAGATGACAAGATGGACCGAGAAAGGGATTAAAGATGTCAGACTACAAATTTCAATAGACAAAATCCTGTGGTGTTGGTTTCTTGCCACAATTTGGAAGGAGAGGTACAAGAGAGTGTTTCGAGCACAATGGATGAGCTGAAAGCATTATCGCTCAAGTGAGATGGGATATAGCAAGATTATGTTCGAGTAGGGCAGACTTTGAAGCTATGTTAGCATATTCTAATTTTGCTGATATTAGGCAAGTAGTATAAGTTGCGGTTGTTATGGAAGTAGACAGTGGTGCAGGATTAAAGTTGATATGTAAAGTAGACAATGTTAGATAGTAGCCACGATGTATAGTGTTGGTTTTCGATGAGCTTGTTTGGTATTTGATCAAGCAGAAGCTAATAATATAATAACAACTACCGAAGAAAATTGATCCAATTCAATATTAGAATATACCAATCCGTTGTAGAAATTGAAAATATAATTAGATTTTGTCTATTGTTTACTTGAAGTGATGATAATATTAAATTGACATAAACCAAACCATACTCTCAACTCAAATACCAGACCAAATTTTGTACCTTTATTTATCCCTCCTATATAATGTAGTGGTATGTAGCACAACGAACTGATGGCAACAAGTGTATGAATCTGCCTACAAAACCTCCCAGACCAAAACCCTGCATCATCGACCCATCTTAATCATGATCGCTCCACCACCACCAACAATCACTACAAGAAATCTGGTTACTAGTCACGGGATCCTATTCACGGTAAATTTTCCTGTACTTAGAAGTATGTTAATAGTCATGGGAAAAATTCCCGTATTTGATTGTATAGTTCTAATCACATGAACTTATTTGCCTTTTTTTATTCTACCTTTCCTGTGATTAATTGTTAATCACGGTAAATTACTGTGAACAATGTGACAATTTACCTTTATAAATTTGGGTGAAAATAAAAAGAATTAAAAGAAGAATTTTGAAACACAAAGCAATAAATTTTGACTCCATTATTCTAAAAACAAAAGTTTATATTCAAATGCAAAATACCCCTTCACATATATATTTCATTCCAAATAATTCTCACAACTCTAGTAAAAATTTTAAGAATGCTTGAAAAATTGGACTCTTTTTAAAAATCAAAAGTTTAGCAATTTAGCTCTCCCGCATTTGTACCCCGCCATCCCAATTCTAAAATTTGGGTCATGAAATATTTGGCTCCACAATGGTAAAACTTTTGGCGCTCCCCCAATTTATTTACCAAGAAAAACCAAAAGTAGCATTAGTTTCTTCTTAGCCAAACCCACAGTCCCACACTCTATTTTGTTCCATAGACAAAAGGCTCAAGGAACACTCTCTTGCCTTATCTTTTCTTCCCCCGACCACCCTCGGCCACTCACTTTCTCACCGTCGGCCTAGCATTTTCCTCCCTGAATAGCCTTTCGTTGCCCTCTCAGGTACTCACAAGCTTCTCCTTTTCTACCTTTCCTCTGATGCTCAACCCATAATTAACCTAGCCATACAAACCCTCACTTCCCGGTTTCAGGTGACCCACCACCTTCGCCTCGCACAATCGGAAGCCGTTGCGGCGTCGCCTCCCATTTTAACTCATACCGAGAGATGTGCTTCTGGACAGCCATATGCGTTCGCATCAATGGCCCTCCTCCAGCCGCCTTGGCCTATTCCATTCTCGGCCCTTTCTTCTTGGTGGGTTCTCGAGGATTGGCTTTCCCTCCTCTTTCAAGAGATTTGGATGGTTTGGTCTTGATTTCGTCCATTAATTGCTGATTTGGGGTTGAAATTTCAGCTTTGGATGAATTGAGGGCATGTAACTAATAAAATTGTGGGTTTTTAGTTTTTTTTTCCAAATTAAACCTTTCTCCTTCCAATTGGACATGGATTTGATCTCCTCAATGATTTCTAACATCTTTTGATTCTCCAATTGGGCTTGTATGTTTTATTTATTGTTAAATTCCTAAATTGGAAAATTAGGGTTCTCCATCGGATCGTTGGGGGTTCTGAGCAAACACACGCATTGAAGTTTTCCCATTGATTAAATTTAATGTTTCAGGTCTACGTGAGGGTTTTGTCCTTTGCTGAATGCTTGAATATGCTCTTCATGAATGTTTCTGCTATCATTTGATGTTCCTAGGTATTACTTGCTTAATGCTAACAATTCTTAAAATATTCACAGTATCAACGTGTGTATCGTGCTTTATTTGGGGTAGCTTTTCTCGCCCCCTTGTTGGAGTGGGTTTTCATGTTCGTTACTTTCAGGTATGGCTGGTTGTGTGTTTCTTATAAAGCTGATTGAGTCTATTGGCTATCTTAGTTGTGTTTGAATGAATTATTGTTAGATTCTTTGGTTTCTTTATGTCAAGTAGTTAGGCATGCTTTGGCTCATGGATGCGTTTATGGTATTTGGACCTTATTCGTATGAACCTTGAGCTTATCTGCAGTTGGGCATGCTTCCTGCACGGGGCTGACTGTTCTGATTTTTCTTAAAGCCAAGTGCTTAAGCCAGTGTCTCAGACATGTACTAGCATCTTGCTGTTTATGTACTGTGGTCTCTGCACAATTCTTATTGTTTGTTTCATGGTTGAGAAGATGTAATTTTAGGTAAAGCTCAGTGGTAATGAGATGAGCGAACATCAAATCCATTTCGGATTTGGGGAAAAGGACATGGGAGAGGCTCTGTCTTGTCCCTTGCCATTCTAACCCTTAGCCTTGTGAATCTTTTTGTTTCCACAGGAGCTGGAAGTTTTGGCAGATCTCATGAGGAAATAAGTATCTTCTTAGGAGGAAGATTGATTCAGTGAACAAGCAATTGAAGCCACTAGGACAATCAGTCCAGGAGAGGTATAGATATAATAGATTGGATCTTTAGTTGGTATTATATTGGAGAATTGTTACTTTGACACAATCAGTTTTCACTTATGGTTAATATATGAAGTCATGCTAGATAAAGATTTGATGGAGGCCTGCTGCCTGGTTTGTTTCCATCCCAGGGAGGCTCTTATTCATTTCTTCCTAGACTGCATAGTTGGTGATTTGTTTTGGAACTTGGATGGGTTTCATTACATGTTGTCCCATATTAGTTGCTAGGACAATTTAGCTACCAACTGGATGAATGGGAATTACTTATAAAGCTGCCACTAGCTCAATTTGTCATGCTATCACTGAAAATGAATGCAAGGCTGCTTATGAACCAGATTATTGTGATAATGGCATCACTGTTTCTTATGTAAATACAAGATTCCAGGGTCATATTGAACCATGTAGCATGATATATATTGGTGCTTTGCTCATGCCTTTGAAGGGCCAATGTATTATGTGCTTGATTCGTAGAATTGTGAGGCTCTTGTTTTTGGGTTCTCATGATTTGTAGCAGTCCTGGATAAAACTGAAAATTTTCATGCACTATAGATGTGTTTCTTCTTCCATTAAGCGTACATCTAATCTCTTCCAGGTATTAGAAGCTTTTGTTTGATGAATTTTCCTGATAGCTTGGAGTTATAAGGTTCTGATGAGAGGTATATAACATCTCTAGCTGATGCATATGAAAATTGCTCTAGCTTGATGACTGAAAAGCTATTTGTTTCCCTTCCCTTTCACAGAGTTCTGCTTTAAAGTGAACACGTGGTCAGGTCAGCATGCTATTGAAATCTACCTCGAAACTAACTTGCTATTACACTGGTATTGGCGTGTCAAACCCTCTTTTGCACTTTTTTAGTACAGTTTGGCAAAGACTTCTAAGTAGACTGATCTAGATTCTATTGTGTGATGATGTCTTGGTCTTCGATGAAACTGTGATTATGTTATTTTCTAAACTGTCCAGATTGTTGTTTCTCTTCACTACTTCAATCTTGTGCTTGTTTATGACCTGTTGCAATATAATTTATTGCTTATGAATCTATCTAGGTGTGAAAGAAGAGGTAAGATGATGAGTGTATGAATGAAGCAAAGGACGGAGAAGAGACTTGAAGATTAAAGAGTTTATGGATATTTCATGCAACTATTAAAGAATATATCTTGTAGAAGAACAGACTCAAGATTCGGATGCCTTTAGATGATTTGGTCAGACTGACCCGAGTTGTAACTGATGTTCATTATGCTGGAGTTTCATGCTACAATAGTTAATATTTTAAATTAAAGGTTAATTAACAGTGATCAATGATATTTGAACGCATTTCATGCTATAAGATTAGGTCTTTCAATTGTATATTAATATTAATATATGAAATTTTATGTATTGTGGCAGAATATCGTGATTAGTGATTGATAATTAGTCATACACTGAGACAAATTGTTAATATCTAGACACTGGAGAACTAACTAAAGACCGTGACTAATGACTGGCATCTAGTCACAGGAAATGATTTTGTCATGGTAGCTACAGTGTTGAAAGGTGTATAACCCGTATCTAAATGAGTTTTTTTTGTCGCAAAATTAAGTATTAGTCACATGGTTTCCCGTGATTAATAAGTACAAATGTTCACGGGAAATTGTACCGTGATTAGTTATAACTAGTCACGGTACAAGTTTCCTGTGACCTTTACAATTAGACACGGAGGTATATATTACGGTAATTTTCCCGTATCTAAAACTATTAAACACGGGAAACGGACATTCAAACACAGGATTTCCCGTGAATAAATGATCTTTTCCCTGTAGTGATATAATGGACTGTTTTTGTATGAGGATTGAGGACACAAGAACGTAATAGGGCTTCCTCCTCCAAATAATTTGGGCCAACGGGAGGCCCAATTGAGGTGCAAACGCAGTTGAGACTGGGAGACAGAAATCAGAATGCCGGAACGGCCGCCGCTCGACGTCCGTCGTTAGTTTCTGAGTTCTGAGAGTACAGGACTTGAATTCGCGGTAGCAGCGCCGCTACCTCCATCGGTAGCCCAACCACCCACCGTCTTCCCTTCCGTGAGAAGAAACTAGGAGCCGTTGCTATGGAAGAAGAGACCAAATTCAGCTCTAGTTCATCACAGGAGAAGCCTCAGGAACTCGCGTTGTCGCTGCCCAACAACATCGAGAAGAAAGAGAAGAAGAAGCCGTTGATGACTATTGAAGGGTACCCAATTGAGGGATTGTCGATTGCTGGCCTGGAAACCTGCATAATCTTCCCTTCACTTGATTTGGCTTTCGATATTGGTCGGTGCCCGCAACGAGCAGTCTCTCAGAACTTCGTCTTCATCTCCCACGCTCACATGGATCACATAGTCAGTTGCCCTTTCCTTCTCTATTCTCCAATTTTCTGTGTGCTGAACGTTAATGGCGATGAACTTGGAGGCTGAATTCTTTACTCGGTCTCGTTGTACCTAGTGAACAATTAGCTTACTTTGCTATCTACTTTTGAAACGGGGGATTTCTTTCTTATGTTCAGGGAGGGTTGCCCATGTATGTTGCCACCCGTGGCTTAAACCGCATGAAGCCTCCGACGATCATCGTGCCCACATGCATCAGAGCAACCGTTGAACAACTTTTTGAGGTGCATCGGCAGTTAGATGGATCAGAGCTGCGACATGTTCTTGTTGGTCTAGATATAGGTAGTGCATCATCTCCGAATTACCATCTTTCGAATTTTCCTCTATAATTTAGTTTTGTGAACTGTTACTTGTAGGGGAAGAGATCGCCATTAGACGGGACCTTAAAGTAAAAGCATTTAGGACACACCATAGAATAAGGAGCCAGGTAAGCCAAGTGGTCAAAACTAAGCCAGTTAACTTTTGAGTGAAAGAGTTTTTGTTTCAGCTGAACGTTTAGCAATTTGCTTGATAATGTTTCAGGGTTATGTTGTTTACCAAGTGAAAGAAAAACTTAAGCAAGAGTATCGTGGTCTATCCAGCAATGAAATAAAAAGCCTAAAATCATCAGGTGTAAAGGTATGTCCTTAAGCAACTACTGAAAGTGGCACCTATTTGAGTGTGTTCACTGTTATATGGTGTTATGTACAAGTATTTAGTGCCCTGCCATTGTTGATGTGTATGGATGATACTATAGTTAATCCGTTTCTTATCTAGGAAAGAGCATTACCTCGTCTGTGTCTTTACTTGGCAGTCTGTCAACTATCAAGTAACTAAAATGAAGGAAACACACATATACGGAAGGACATTACTTTTCCTTTCTCACCTACAGCTTCTTCTAATTCTTGTGAGATCCTTTGTCATTATCAGTCTTCTCCTCAGATTGGAGGACCATTAATTTGAACAATATGAGTGAGAAACATTGAACTCCTGGAACACTTTTAAATATGGGAAGTTGGGAACAGTCTTCTTCTTTTCGTTTGCTCTGGGGGGAACAATCTTCTGATAAAGCAAAATATGAGTTTGTCATTTCTCTTACATTTTATCTCGCACCACACATGCCACGGAAACAATTTACTACAGAAGGAACATTAAAGATGTTTGGAAAGTGAATATTTTTCAGTCTGAAATACCATAGCAAATCTCATCATGTACTGAAACTTTTAACATTCCATTCAGAAGCTGGAATTTTATTTCTTCAATTGTTACAGGCTATTCGAATTGGTATTTCCTCTCTCAAAATGGTGCTTGTTTTATTCACAGATAACAGACACCACGAGTCACCCTGAAATTGCTTTTACTGGTGACACAATGAGTGACTTCATCTTGGACGAGGGTAACAGTGATGTTCTGAAAGCAAAGATTCTCGTTATGGAGGTATGATGCTACTAGCCCTCGTTATTCAGATATTTTGTACAATAGTTGCTTATCATTCTCCAAGGACACAGATTGGAATCGTTTTTGTGAGTGAGTCACAGTAGTTGGCCATCCTTCTGAAGTAAAAAATAAGCTAGGATTTCTAATTAACGGTCTATTCTAGCTAGTGCATCAGATATATCTTTTTCCCCCTTAAAGTTTTCACATTATTAGTTGATAATACTGGTAGAAGGGCTGACTATGACAATCCGTACACAACAGTGCACTTTTGTTGAGGAGAGGGTAACAGTGGAGCATGCTCGAGAGTATGGTCACACCCATCTGTATGAGGTATTGCTTGCTTCTTCTGTATCGTCCTTTTACACATGCCAATCCACAAGGAATTGAATTTTGATTCATTCTGCTAAATCTCAATTGGTTTCAGATAATTAAGCATGCGGACAAATTTCAAAACAAGGCAATCCTTATGATCCATTTTTCAGCCCGTTACACGGTAGAGGTAGGTTTAAATTTCTAGTTTCATGAGATAATATGCAGCCTTGGATGATGAAGCTGATAATTTTATTTTCGCCAGGAAATCCAAGAAGCCATGTCAAAACTCGAGGCACCTTTGGCTGGCCGAGTTTATACACTCACTGAAGGTTTTTGACAAGACTGAAGGGTTTGAACAGACTGAAGGCTGAGAGGCTTCTGCAACTTTTACCTCTTCACTGGCTCAAGAGAAGGCTGTTCCAACACCAATGAACTTTCGTAGTCATCGTGATTTGTACAGTTTATGTAACCTGGTGGAGGCTCAACAGATTCAACTTGGAAGTCAGCACTTTTTCGAATGCAAGCAATCCTGGTAGTACCTTAGACATGAATCAAATTTAATCCTGGGCAAGCATGGCTTCTTGCTGCATGTGTGGAACTCTTGTTCGCTGGAAGGTGTACTCTGTGGGGATCATATGTCATCTGCTCCAGAAGCATGTTCAATTGAAACATTTGCCCTTGTGTTGTTTACTTGCTCCTCTGCCGGCCAAAATAAAATGTTATATTCCCCCGGTCTGGACAATCATTATCTTGTTGTGGCTCAATGCTAATCTGGGTTTGCTCCCGCCACCTAGTTCGATGATATTGCTTTCCCAAATGTGTAGCCCGTTGGGATGTACATATTTCATGATGAAAACTCCTTTTTCAATGTATTTCCCTCTTTCTCAGTTTATGTCACAACTTTGATTCTAGTCAGAGACAATAGCAATTGAGTTGAGACTACAACAGTTGGAGAGAACAAAATAGTAAATGCTATTAACATCAAAGGGGCCTGCAACAGCAGAAATGTGAAAAGCAATACCTGTGGCTATAACAACATGAGAAGAAAGGAAACAAAGTACACACATTATTACTCTGGGAAACCAAGGAGGGGCCAAAGGTCAAGAAATTGGAAAAAAATTAATGTCTGAGCCCAGGTTCGAACTGGGGACCTTTAGTGTGTGAGACTAACGTGATAACCAACTACACCACCCAGACATTTTTGTTACTAATTGATACATTTGTTTACTAGAAATGTTTAGAGAAGTCTAGTTTATAAAAGAATACTTAGAGGTTGTTTGCTTGTAGGATTGTGATGAGAGATTTTGCCCAAAATCCTATATGGGTTGGATTATTGTCCAAATCCATGTTTGTTGATAAAAATGAGATTGACATAAATCTGTTGGCCCACAAATGTGGGATTTTTGTTTGCTCAAAAGTTGTGGACCCCATGGATTATAAAATCCCACCTCATTATGTAAGATTTTGAGAGGTGTCAAAATTCGTGTACCCCACTAATTATGAAATGACCAAAGTGTTCTTAACAAAAAAAACAAAAATACTTTATTAAAGATAAGAAGAAGGATAAAAAGGTAAACCCCATCATTTAACCCATAAATCCAATATAGTAAACTCCATTTTGAAAATCAATAAGCAAACATGCAATTTCTAAAATCCAACACAAATCCAAAATAGCAAAATCCAACATAATCCTTCATTTTTCAAAATCCCACAAGCAAGGTCGTTTGTTTGTAGGATTTTCATCATGGATTTGGGATTAAATACCACATCCATGGGATTTTGCACAAAGTCCATGTTTGGTGTTAAAGTGGTGTTGGATTATAGTATGTTTGCCCCATGCATGTGAGATTATTTTGAGGTCAAAATCCGTGGGGTCTACAGATAATAAAATCCTACCTATTTATTTGGGATTTTGTGGGAGGCTAAAATCCATTATGGTAAATGAATGGTCTATCCTCATCTCTTTTCAATATTTCCTATATTGAACATCAAGAACACAAATCACTAAGGATACAAATGTTAATTCAACATATAATTAATAAATCCTATTGACACAAATTCAATATGAACTCCAATAAACAAACAAATATTTTTTAAAATCCAACAAAAATCTAAAATGACAAAATCCCACATTATTCTTCATCAACAAAATCCATGATTTTACCTAAATCCTTCATTTTTTAAAATCCTACAAACAAACGACCTCTTAAGCTTTGTTATACTTTTAGAACGCGTGGAGCTTGTGCTTTCATCAAACTTCAGATTTTCATAGGTGAATGCTCAGGCGATTATCATAGATGATTGATAGTAAAATGAAGGGTAATGACTATTTATTACCCAAATATTTTCAGATTCTTTTTTATAAGCCAAATCTATCGAAATACTAAGAATTAGCCAAATGTTAACTTTCAGTTAGCAATTTTGTTAGTAATATTGACTTGGCAACATGATACTGAGTTGGAAGAGACACATGAAGGTCAACATTCCACAATTTCAGTATTCTAACCAAGAAAAGAGTTACAATATTATTAACGATAACATAAAAATGGCTAATATTTTGATGTTTACGAAAGATTTGACTAAATAATATTATTTTAATAGGTTTGGATAATATAAAAGAATCTGAAAAAGGTTTGGATAAAAAAATAGATATTACCCTAAAATGAATCAATAAATAAGTATGAGTAATTTTTATCTAATGGGTACTGTTTTGTGGTAAATTTCAAAGTATCTTCAGTTAAAGTCAGCAAAATATATTTGTATAGCAAAACCCTTAATTTTTGTCAGTATAACAAACTTTTCTTTATAGTAACTAAACTTAGCTTGGTTATTGGACAAATATAGTAATATTCGTTAGAAAGATTAACGGTATCAGCTCCAAATTGTCATGTCATTTGTTTGTCGCATCATAATAAAAAAAAAATTGTAATTTGTGTAGGAAAAAGATTGTTTGAATTTAAAATAATTGAATTTTTTTTGAATATTTTTACCTTTAATATTCCACCAAAATCCCTTTATCACAAACTTCTCTTCCTCTTCCTCGTATCCTCCTTCTTTATCGGGGTTGATTGTCGACTAAGACCATGACCGGCATCCGTCATCGTCTCATCGACCACAACAAGTACACCTCTTATTGCCACCTTCTTTCCCTGCAGTTATGGGCTCATCCCTCCTCCCTCTATCTTGTTGTTCGACTCCATATTGACGGACTGTCAAGAACTAGTTGCTCCCAATAACTCGAGTTGTTGGGAGAGTTTCAATCGTGGATCATATACCGTTTACTAACACCCCCCCCCCTTCAAACTCAAGCCATTCATATAGGCTTAGAGTTTGGAGAGGCACAGGTCTGGACACCATGTGCTTAACAAAAACAGATGGGGGTCACCGGGAATCGAACAGAAGACCTCACGGTCACAGAAGGCTTTGATACCATGTCAAGAACCAGTTGCTCCTAATAACTGACTAATTTCCTTCTTCGATAGTGGTGAAGTAGTCATAGACAACTTAACACACGATATCAAGCAGAAAGTCGAGAATTTGGGCTTTCATTTTATAATAGTGAGATTAGGGTTTTTCCTAGTATTTGGAAACTTTCTTCGTGTCGTGAGTCTTGTTGATGTCTACCATGTTGTCATATGGATCTTTGATGGTTGATTACCTATTATCTAGACTTGGTCAGTGTTCCACCTACTCGTCGACGTCGAATGGATGATACCAGTGTCGTTAAAACCGAACCAGACGTTGATACGGAATAACAAGAGGTTCAAGGTTTATCGAATAATCGTTGATTAACCTTTATTTAAAACCCATCATAAACCGGTGGTTGGCTCTATATAAGAAGAAAGAAAAATAGAGTAAGAATATAAAAAATAGTAAAAACTAAAAATAGAGAGAGTAAGGGGCCCTAGGTAGCTGCCAGTCTGCCACTTTTCATCTTCCTCGTTGCTTTTGGTTCCATTTTTTATTTATTAATTTCAAAGAATGTAAAAATGGTAGGCAGCATTTTACTTTCACTCAGCCTGCCCGTTTTATGACTTCCGGGACCAAACTTGTGCCCGCGTCCGGGTTTTCCCTCTCCAACCGGTCGGTCCGGCTCGGTTTTCATAACAATGGATGATATTGTTTGCTGAAAAAGATGGATGGGACTGAATCCTCGTTCTCGAGCCTAGGGTAGGGCGCATAACGCTTGGTAAGATTCAAAGCATGGTAAAGGAAACCGTACCGAAAGTCATACCGGATCCGCTAGTGGTAAGGTATTTTGTGGTACTACCGTGGTTCAATCGTTGTGTACCGGCAAAATGCCGTTTTTGTAATTAAATAATATTTTTTTGTTAAAAAACCGTACCGACAGATTCAGGATACCGTTTCGGAATAATACCGGAATGAAACCGGAATATACCGTATATAAATAAAAAATAATAAAATATCAACATATAATTTTCCTAAATTACACCAAACAAAACATTACATAATTTCCCCAAAATATATTATCCCACTATCCAAACTCACCAAAATCCCAATGCCCCTTCTAAAAAAAAAAAAAAATAGAAATCCCCATCCCCATATTGGCATTGATTTCTACCTCCTCTCTCTCCTTCTTTCTCCCACAGCCCCCACCATCAATCGATTTCCCAATTCCCACACCCATTCTCTCTCCCTCTCTCGGCTCCTTCTCCCTGCACGCTCTCACTATCAAAATCAATTCCATATTCCCCTTCATCACCAAATCACCATCCTCTGCCTTCCTAACAAATGGAGCGCCAAATCAATAATAAGAATGGAGGCTCTCAAGAGTGGCTGTGCGGGAAGGGAGCGCCAAAGGCCGGAGAGAAAGGGTATAGCCCGGGCCTCGTCATCGATCTCACAAATCTTACTGAATCCTGCCTTTTTCCTTCGCCGTCGCCGGGGATTTCGCCGGATTCTTGATCAATCTCACGGATCTGGTCGATCTCGAGCAGGGGAGGAGACTCGGCAGGGGAAGGAAACTCGAGCGGCGGCGTTGTTGAGAAGTCAAGCTCGTCGCTAGAGGCAGGGGTCAACTAGAGAATAAAAGAAGAGCGGCGAAGCGGGACGTGAAACTGGAGAAGAACCGGCGGCTTCGATAGTTCGATTAGTGATTAGGGTTTGGCAGTGGTTTGTTATTTTTTATTTTCTTCATTTTTGGTGCAAAAACAGCAGTGTTTCATTGTGAATAGCCTACCGCCGGTTGGAACAAAACCGGGCGGTATTTCGTTTCAGGCCGGTTAAACCGAAAAAACTGGCCGATACGATAATTCTGCCACTAAATGCGTGTTGTTCCGTTTTTTGTCCAATTTCCGATTGAACCGGTTGAACCGGCCGGTACGATCCGGTTTCCTGGTCCTTGATTCAAAGTCTTTTTATATTTCCACTACAAGAAATCTCAGATACATAGACAAAGGAAGGGAGCTTCCATAAGGCACTTATTTATTTCCTTATTATTTTATATGCATGATGCGAAGTAAACATATAAGTGATAAAAATCCTAAATATGTCTAGGATCTTATTTCACATGGTCTTTTAATAGTAACTACTATAACCTAATCAATTGAATTCAAATATGCAATGCAAGAAAGTAAAACTAGTGGGTTGAGGTGTCCAATCCATTTCCTATGCTAATATGCAAACAAAGAAGTAAACAGAGATGCAAGAAATGAAAATAGTGTTTAGGTAGCGTCTTCTAGATGGTCATGCATACGATTTCATCAATAAGATGTATCTATACATATTCTATTATGATGCTTTATCCCTTCCTCTAAGGTCACTCTCTACCCATGCATGCGTCTCTTGTGATAGAGATTTGACTAGCTAATGCGTGCTTTCGCTTCATGCCATCACCTAATCAATGAAGAATAAGAAAGTTAGGATAACATATCGTTAATTGTGGGCTTATATAAACCATAAATATATATAGTCTATAGCACCGATGATCTAAGAATCAAGCATCGATCTTATGTAAACATGTGTAGTTGCTTCCAACTAAACAAGCATACACAAGGCAATGATATATCACTAGATGATAATTTCTTGACCACCTAAAAATATTAAGCACAATACTATTGTAGCATCTTAATAGTAAGTAATACATAATCATCATATAATTCACATCTCTAAACAAATCGACTAGCAACTCAAAGAAGAGTAGAACAACATCACCATAGATACAAGCGTCGATGGTGAATGCTTCTCCTCCAAATTTCAATAGCAATTTCTCCTCCTCAATGGATTACTACTCGGGCCCAGTGGGGCAGAGTGTTGGTAAAGGTGTGTGTAAAAGCTCTAACTTAGCCTCCTATTTATACTAGTTACTGAAGTGGATTTTCTAGTCTTTTTCCTCCTAAAGTCGCCCAAGTCAGTTTCTTTGACTTGTAAACTAGGGTAAAATTCAATTGATAAAACTAATCTCTTGTTACAATTTGGTCGAGACCTTTAAATAGAATAACAAAGCCTAATTCTAAAACTCTACTAATAAGGAAAAATAAAACTAATTAAAATACTAAAAAAGAAAAGGAATTATAAACACAAAAGGTAATTAAACTCAGCAGTTGTTATTCCCCGTTCGCTCGACTTTCAGATCCCTGGACGGGGAACAACTCCATCCCGACGGGGAAACTCCTCTGCTCAATCTCATGTTTTGTGGTTCTGTTCCCCGGTCAGAGAATTGGATGGCCTGACCGGGGATTTTCCTAATCACCATACGATCTTCAAGCTGCTCGTTTGGTGTCTAGGAAGCTTCAATCTTCTCATCCAATGTTTGTATGATCTTCAACAAGACTTGCACTCTCACCTTCAACTCCCAGCTTCCCTCGAGTGGCTCCCAATATGAACGAGTAAGTGTCCAAATTAGGTATCTTGAAGTTGTTTCCGCACTTAGCCAATCTCAACACTTTCTTCTTCCTCGATTTTAGCACTACCTGGAATGCTTTGAAATTGACCTTATTGACGGCTAATGTTCTTACGTCATCACCGAATGGGGGTCCTACAAAACTGACGTCCACCGTCCCGCATCAAACCAGGCTCTAATACCACTTCTCGAAATCGAATAGCTCCATTAGTACGATATTGTTTGCTTTGGGCCAAACCCGCATGGATTTACTTTTGGGTAATCTCCCCAAAATTCCTCGTACTAATGAGCTTGGTGGACACTAATATATAAGGGTCCATTTGCTTGTATTTTTTATGTGGTACTTGATTGTGCCATAACAATCCTCCCCTCAAGACAATGACCACGAACTTCGTGTCCTCTCCTCAGCGTTTATCTTGACCCGTCAAACCAAATGTAGATCACCTTTGATCTACCAGACAGACAGTGACCTCCCTTGATCCGCCAAACATACGCAAATCTCAAATCCCGAGGTCATCGAACAAGGATCCCACCAAACTGATGTCCACTGACCCGAACCAGGCTCTGATACTACTTGTCAAAATAGAATACCTCCATTAGTATGATATTGTCTGCTTTGGGCCAAGCCTGCACGAATTTACTTTTGAGTATCCTCCCGGAAAGGCCTTGTACTAATGAGGTTGGTGGACACTAGTATACAAGGGTCCCTTCCCTTGTATTTCCGATGTGGTACTTGGATTGTACCATAACAGTTACAATACTTGATTATTAGATCATCGATGCTATAAACCATTGATTATGGCTCGTGGAGGCCCACACTTAATCATGTGATATTCTAACTTCCTTGCGCTTCATTAATTAGATGGTCGAATGAAGCTAACGCGCACATTATTTAATTAAATATCTTATCATATGAAGCGAACGCACGGGTAAAAAGTGACTCTAGTAGAAGGGATAGAATGATGTTGTGGATGAGTCATTGATTAGATGAACTTTAGTACATGATATTTTTCTTCTTCTACAATAACGAATCTTTACTGTTATGCATCAATAACTCTAAAACCGTAAACCAATTTACTATTCTTGCTTTCTAGATAAATGAACCCCCCCCCCCAAATGATTTAATGTTATAGATGGTTTGATGCAAGTTGTTATGCATTATAAGACCTCGTGGAATACGAGCCTTAGGCATCCTAGGAATTTTATCACTCGATCTCGCATCAACCACCTGTAAGGTAAACGACTACGAGGATGCAGCGACATCGGTTGAAGATAAGTTCATCCCCGATTTCTCGGACGGAACCAACAACTTACTCCTTAAGAACATTGATTTCAACGATCTGTTTGCTCTGGGCATTCATTAATAATAAATAGTTGTGTCGTGAACTATTCATTCAACTTTAATCAGAATGAGTTTTGTCATCAACAGTTCATCCAACTTTAATCATGTTATTGTAGAAGGAATCTTTTCTTATTTCTATAAATGGACCCTCATATTTGGTTAGGGCTGGGAAAATAGACTAGACCATTAGGTCCAAACCGTACCGCACAGTTTGGTCCGGACCGTAGACCGTTAAGTATGGTCTGGTCTGGTCCATGGTTTGTATTATTTTATGTTTTGATTATTTGGTCTGATCTGGTCTAGACCGCGGTTTACCGGACCAAACCGTGGACCCAACCGACTTGTCAATACGTGTTAACAGCCCATTCGACCACTCTCCCAACTCCCCCAACGACACCCAAGTCTCAACCTTAATTTTGTGAATCTCGTCCCTCCTTCATTTATAACTATATTTAACTAGAGAGTAGACATAATCGTGTCTCAATATGACATTATGTTAATGTTTATGACGTTATGGTGCAAGTTGGGATGCTTTTACTTTGTATCTTTGTTATGTACTAAGATTTAGGGTATCAAAATTATGCATGCATGTTAGGATTAATGTTTTAAGGCAAATAACAATTATTTTTCTTAGTTATTGGTTCAGTTTTTGTGTGGTTGACTAAACAAATTATTCATTTTTTGTTGTGTGTGGTCAATCTGGACCAGACCAGACCGAACCAGACCGCACAGGCGTGGTCTGGACCGGAACGTATAGTCTGTGGTCCGGTCTGTGGTCTATACTTTAGCCTCTCGGTCTGGACCATAGACCGTATATATGGTCTGGTCCGAACCAGACCGCACCGTTTCCCAGCCCTATCTGGCAGAGTGGGAAAGAGAAGAAATAGACACATTCATCCGGGGCCATATAAGTCGTGAGGTGGGAGAAGGATCGATGAAACCAAGAGCTGATAATGTTGCACTTGTTCGTGAGCTTGATTGTGATTGGAGGAAAAGGAAGCGCAAGAAATGGAGGAGTCAAAGCGCGATCTACACGGGCAATGTGAAGAAATGGGTCGAGTCGGTCAACCTTGAGGGCAAGGTTGGTCTCAAGGGGGAGGGGATGATGGAAACCCAATTCTTGGGATTTATCATAATAATTATTATTACTATAATTAGGATATTATTAGATATGGTTAGTAGTTATTGAGTCATATTAGGATAGTCTATTAGGTTTTTCTAGTCTTTCGCTATAAATATGTAATGGTCCTTCATTCATAATCAGACAAGAAGAATATTAAGAAACAATCTCCTAAACCCTATTCTCCCAATCCTCTCAATTCTCGTTCTCAAACCCTCTAAAGGCCTTGGCCGATTCTCTATCTTTCTCTTCTCAAATCCCTAATTCTGTTCTTAATCTCTAAATCCCCAATTCCCGATAGAACCCTAATCCCAGGTTCTTTCAAAAAATCCTAAATAATTTGACTAAGATTACATCTAAATTAGACAAGAACGGGTCAAGAATGGGGCGGGTCGGGACAGATCGGGTCGATAAGAGGTACCTGTACGTGGGCACCGGGCCGTGCCGCCCACGGGCTAGCACGGCACGACACGGTTAGAGCACGACACGAGCACGAGCACGAAATATATGGGCCAGCCCGGCACGAGCACGAATGATTTATGGGCCGTGCCGGGCCTAAACTTCATGGGCACGGGCACGAGGACGGGCATGGCACGGTATATAAGTGGGCCGTGTCGGGCCTAATATTTTCGAGACTTTATTGAGTATAAGAACGGACATGACACGAAAATAATATTTATTTGATAGAAAATAAGTATAAAAAGAATTATATGTTCAAATATTACAAAACACAAGTAGAAAAATAATTATTTGTTGTTGTTAGAAGTGTCATACAGATATATACGTAATTACTAACATAAGTAAAAATGGACAAAGAATTAAACAAAGCCAAATCACACTCGCTATACTTTTAATTTTCTTTTCCCCCCTATTTGTTACTTTTCTCAAACATTATCGGTTTATACTATCTTCTCCCGTCCAATTTTCACCTTCTTTTTCATTCTCTCTTTTGTTTTCGTCCTTTTCATTAAACACAAATACTAGCATGGCACGAACACGAATAGGCACGGCACGATTCGAACCGTGCCCGGGCCTAGCAAAGTTGACAAATGGGCTTGCATGGCACGACACGAAAACTGACGGGCCGTGCCAAGCACGGCACGAAATAAATAGGCCCGAAGCGTGCCCGTGCCGTGCCGGCCCAAGCACGGCCCAACACCCATGTACAGAGGTACCCATGTCCGCCCCGCTTACGGGATAGATCGGACCCACCCAAAACAGGCCAAGTAAAATCAAAATTGTCATTCTACTACTAATCGAGTTATACCACACAATAAACCAAGTGCAATAATATACACCGACAAACTTAAGAGAGCACAGCTAGGGCGTTATTAACTATCATATCCCATAAAAAATTAACTTGACTAACATATATCTTTGGGCATTGCTTTTTCATGTTTGACATTAAATAAAAATCCATCGGCATGTCCTCACAATGGCATCCCCTCCCTCCCTCCGTAGATAATCCCTAGACTTGGCAGTCCAGCACACACCGAAGACAGCCTCCTTCATGCATCAGATCAAATGCTCTGTTGATCTCCGCCAAAGTCAAATTATGTGTGATGTACTCATCCACCTTGATTTCCTGAATTACAAGAACAACAGCATTCCCCAGTGAGCTTGCATGCACATAATATAAAACTAGGACTATGGTTTATTGCTTGCTTCACCTTTTTCAAGTATTTTTCCACAAGCCAAGGCACTTGTGAACGGCTCTTGAAACCACCAAAAGCAGTTCCCTTCCAGACCCGGCCTGTCACTAACTGGAAAGGACGAGTTGATATCTCCTGACCTGAAGCAGCCACGCCCACTATGACCGAGGTTCCCCAGCCCTGAAATTGCTCATCTCCGTCACATATGGTCCGCATCACTCCCAAGTCCTATCACTACTAATAGTATAAAGTTAACACAAGACATCACATTCTTTTATATATCCGGTGCTACTTACCTTGTGACAGCACTCTAAAGCAGCCCTCATTACAGAAACATTCCCAATGCACTCAAAACTATAATCCACACCACCATCAGTAAGATCAACAAGGACCTGCTGAATCGGCTTCTCGTGGTCCTTCGGATTCACAAATTCTGTAACCCCAAAATTCTTCGCTGCACAATGCAATCAACCCCGTCAAGTAATTAATCAAGCAATATTCAGCGACCTAGAATAAAAGGTTTCTCCAATTCTGACGGGTCTCTAGATCAGATCTAGAGATTGAGAATTTAGGGTTTATAGAACAGAATTGGGGATTTAGGGATTTGAGAAGAGAATTTGGGGAAGAACAGAAGAGAATCGACCTAAGCCTTTGGAGGGATTGAGGTCAAGAATTGAGAGGATTGGGATAGGAATTTAGGGAGATAATTCTTTATTAACTTCTGCTTAATATGACGAATGACCCAAAGTACATATATATATATAGGGAAATACTAGAATACCCTAAGAATAAACCTAATTCTGCTAGAAGACTACTAACCATAATAAGAATTACCCTAATAGTAATTAAAATAATTATATATAACCCGATATAAATCGGTTTCTAACAAATTCCATAATCTAGACTCCACACCTCAGACCAACAGACATGCAGAAACTTCAGAAAGAGGTAACAATAACATAATAGATTTATAGCCAACATTACTGTTATGTAAGCGCAGTTACAAATTCCAATTTGCGTGTGAAAAAACTGGGGCTAAGCTGCTTATTATATAATGGATAAATCCATAGGCGAGGGAATCAAAAGGTAAGATTTTATCACTGACTACAAAAACTCGTAAAGAAATCTTACTCAAACAAAACAAGTTGCAACTTCTGTTCGTGAAGAGCAGCGCTCAGAAAGCACTATATCATAGAACTGGAGAACACACACACACAAATATGCAAAAGAAACTAACACCTAAGCATTGTCAGTGCTGATCAAATGATATCCAACATATGCAACAGTAAGTACTAAAGAAAGGTAGCGACAGAAGAAATAAATGCTATATCCATTTGACCACTAGACAAAAAAAATGCTATATTCATAGAGAACGAGAATGAGATACTACCTGTATCAAACTTTTTAGGATCAATATCTATGCCAATAATGCGCGAAGCACCAGCTGCTTTTGCCCCCTCTGCAACCTATACAATCATTTGACTTAATCAGAAAGCAGTTAGGACATGGTTTCTGAACAGAATTTTCCATTCATTGACAGAGATTAGCTATACTGAATAGAAAGAGTGTGTATTGAGAACTTACTGCAAGGCCAACAGTACCGAGGCCAAAAATAGCAACAATTGACCCAGCTTCTACTTTAGCTGTGTTCCAAACAGCTCCGAGACCTGAAGGACCGAACACTCAATTAGTCACCACCTGATATTGCAAAAAATATTTCTACAAACAATCATCCTGCATTTCCTATCCATAAATATGCATACAGAAGCAAGAATGGCCCCCGTGGAATATAATAAGCAGGAAGTATAGGAGTGGCCAACTCTCAAAGATTGTGTGAATCTCAAATAAAAACAGATGCTCTTGTTCAGAAATATATTATATTAGATCAATGCAACACCAAAGGTAACATATGCAACTCAAAGGGTTCAAGTGTCTTTCATTTTAATTCGCTAATAATGAGCCTGGATTACAGTGGGAACAAATGGGAGGCCAATAACAAGTAATATACGATTCCCAGTAAAGTCATGGTTGATGCAGCTTTCCAATTAAGATTGGACGCAATCCTTACCAGTGGGAACACCACAGCCCAGAAGGCATACTTTGTTGAGTGGAGCTATTGGGTCGATCTTCGCAACACTCACATCATGCACAACAGTATATTGACTGAATGTAGAAGTCCCCATGAAATGGTATATGGGTTTCCCATTAACTGAGAAACGGCTTTTACGATCATTCATCATAACCCCAACACCGGTAGCAGAGCGGACCTTGCCACATAAATTTGTCTTTCCAGACTTGCAAAATTTGCACTCTTTGCATTCAGCTTGGTAACAAGGAATGACATGATCACCTGGTTGCACCTCAGTTACACCTTCCCCAACACTCTCCACAATCCTATGTCCAAAAGAAATACAATTAGGAATAGAACCATTTCACCCAACTGAGAGGGGCAGCCATCAAAATCAGAGTAGGTATAAGGCATCCATACCCAGCAGCCTCGTGACCAAGAATGCAAGGGAAGAGGCCTTCAGGATCCTACAAGGGGGAGTGGTTGAGAATCTTGCACACAGCAGATGAGTCATTGAGACAGTACAATCGGAGGTTCACTGTAATTATAAAAATGCATGATAATAGCTAGCCAGTGAAAAAAAAAAATTACATCTGTCTGTCCAAATTTCTCTCTTTAACATCGATGATGATCATCCTTAGCCACATTGGAGCTAAAGTACCCTCAAGTCCTCAAAAAGAAAACATAAGCATAAATCTGATGTATACGGAAGGTATCTGAACAAAGACAAAAACAACGAGGGCCACTCAATTGTAAGACATACACATGGTAGTGATATAGCCGCCGTTTACCTTGACATTCCCATAACCACAGAAAAAAATGTGATAATGTAAACCAGTGCAATGCAATCACGAACACACACAAGCAAGATACCATCAAACTTAACAACATCCACCAAAATCAAACTAAAGGTCGAAATATATCTAATTGAAACAATGAACATTGATGGCAATAGCAAGCAGCAGCAGCAGCAGCAGCAGAACAGAGAAATAAAATTTGATTAACAACGAGGCAGTGGGTGAAGAACAACTATGCAAGTACCTTGCCGCTCCAAGTGTAGGCATCAGTGTGACAGAGAGCAGTGAAGAGAATCTTGACGCGGACCTCACCGGCCTGCGGCGGGGCAACCTGGACGTCCTCGATCACCAGCGGCTTGTTAGGTTCCCACGCCACCGCGGCTTCGTGTCACAATCGCATATCATCCCAAAACCCCAAATGGATCAGGATTGCGAAATCGCCAGTAAGAGTCCACTAATGCAATTGAACGGTGACGAGGAATAATAGAGAAAGAGGGAAAGATACCTTTGCAGGTGATAACTTGGCCCTGAGTTGCCATCTGATTAGAGCGTGACAAAGAGAGAGCGGGCTAAGAGAGGGAGGGACTGAAGAAGGACGGGGGAGAAGAAGTCGAGTCGTGAATGGAGGTGGTGGAGCGCGGAAGTGGACTCCCATTTTGGCTATTTATAAGACTGTGAGGAGGAGCTGCGGTGGCATAGATCAACGGCTTCCATCTTCAAATCTGTCTGTGGATATCATATTTTTAGCCATCGGATGATCCGGTTGCTGAGATAGTCAACTCAGCTGACCGGGCCCCAAAACCACTATGCCGAGTCGGGTCAATGGTGCTGTGGGCGGCTGGAAGTTAAGCATGGAACAGAAAACCGGATCGTACCAGCCGGTTCAATCGGAAAAATCGAAAACCGGACCAGGAACGATAAGACACCCATTTACCAAGCAAATTACCGCGCCGGTCGATTTTTACGGCATAACCGACACAATCCGAGATATCGTCTGGTTTTGTTCCGACCGACGGTAGACTGATTTCAAAGGAAACGTCGTCGTTTCCTGCGACAAAATTGAAAAATAAAAAAGAAACTCGTGCAAACTAACAACCCTAATGGCCTAATCCCTAATCGATTCTTTCTTCCCCATCATTTCGGTTTCACTTCACCCTGCCGCTCCTCCTCTTCACCAGAACGTCGCCTGCTCGACACTCGACAGAAGAGAACGTGAGATCTAGTCTCCGCGGGCCTGGTTTCCCTCCGCCGTCCCAGATCGGGTTTCCTTCCTTGGACTCTGGCACTAATTTCAGAGAAACAGGAAAAGACGCTGATTTTAGGAGAAGCATAAGAAGAAAGCTTGTATGCATGCATCAATGGTGGTTCCGGACTTCCCGTTCAGTAAGAAGGCGAGATGAACGAGAAAAAGAGGTTTTTATTAAGAGATTTGTTCTGGTAATGGCGGCAAAGAGATGAGAGTTTTCGATTAGGGACTGCTTTCCATTTGGCTTTGAGCGTTGGGGGTGGGGGCTAAGATTTGGTTTGCGATCTGGTGAGGATATAGTTGGGTGTGAGAGAGAGAGAGAAAGGAGAAATAATCGAAAATGGGGAAAGGCCGAAAGGCTGCACGGGAAGGAGGAAACGAGGACGATAAATGTGGGAAGTTTTTTTTATAAAAAATAATTATTGTTTAAATTTTCTATTAATTTGCTAACTGGTTGTATTTATTGCTCTGTATATTCCGATATATCCAGTATTATTCCGAAACGGTACCCTGATTTTGCCGGCAAGATTTTTTGACAAATTAAGGTTGGATAGTGAGAAGATTATGTTCACGCTGTACCTTCCATACTTGTGTTCGAGTTTTACCCTACCCATTAAATATCCTTCGGGTTCGTGTTTTATCCTAACTAATTATGTCAGATTCAGATGTACTAGTTATGTTTCACATCCCTAGTCCTAGAATGCAAAGGGAGGATAACTCTAATAGGGTGACATAATGTCAGAGAGATTAAATTTGGGTTTCTAGTGCCAAATTGGTTCAAAAATGACAGAAGGGGACATAATTGTCCAATCCCCACATTTGCAGCAAGCAGACGTACTGTAGGAGGCGATGGTGCCGCACGTGGGGAAGGGACTGAATCCCTTCTTTCACGTGTCCACCACCGCCGACCTCCTACTGCTAGTTCGGGTTATTTACTTTTTAAATAAAAGAAAGATTGCACTTCAACCCCCAAATTCACTCCAACAGCTCTTTCAACCTACATCAACTATTTTATTCAATTTTCTTTAAAAGAACACCATATTTATTCACTTCTGCTTCACAACTTCCCGTTTTTCTTTCATAGGAGAATCCATGAAGCAAAAATATTTCTTGGCGGCTAGAGAGATGTATGAAGGTTGAATGGCTTTTTCAAGACCAAAGGTTGAATGGTCGATAAGTAGAATGACCAAATTTCCAAATAACTTGTGTCACTATCCCCCCTTACTTCAAACTCCAACTTGTTGTTCTTCACGTATGGGCCTGGCAACCCAACTAAACCCATCTTCTTTCTCCATAGCTTCATTCAAAGGTGGCCCCTGCAAATTCTTTGGCGGCCCAACTCCTCCTTGAAGCCCACCTGTGAGCTTCCTAGGGTTCGCGTGGAAAGGGAGAGTACCGATGCCGCCTTTCTTCTTTAGCGATCCTTCCATCCGGCGGCCAGGAGCCTCGCCAATGACCGGCCTCGTCTACAAAGAGACCTCCGGCGGCAACTTCTTCTCCGGCAGTGCTTGTTTCCCCTCGTTCTCTGATGACTAGGTCGTCAAGCAGCTATGAGGGAGATCCGACCCAACTCTTCTCATCGCCTCTCTCTCTTCTTCGCGAATCGGCGAAGAACCGCCCAGCTGGCTACGAGGTCCACCGAGTTCCTTTCCCGCCTTTGGCTCCTCGTCGTGCGACCTCAGCTCCGACTGCGGTTTCTTCGCCACAGTGAACGCCGCCCTAAGAGAAGTCTCGCCGACGGTCTCTGAAACTCCCCCGAGCTCCCCGCCTTGCTCGCCTGCCGCCGCGCCGCGGGGCCCGGCTCTAGCCGTGCCTCCCTTTCGGCACGAAGGCCGACCACCAGTCTCGGCCACCCCCGCGCGCCCCGCGCTTCGCTCGCCCGCCGTCACGCGCCGAGGGTCCGCGCCCCCAGCCGTCGCGCGTGCCACCGCGCCCTCTCGCCGCGATGGAGTCGGCGTTGCGTTGGTCTTCGCGGTGGGGTCGCCCTCCTCCGCCGCCGCTGCAGCAGTCCACCCTCGGTCACTAGCCTCCTGCTTGAGCTCAGCTAGCGTGAACTCGATCTTCTGTCGTATGCGAGCCCATGCCGGATCGATGAGCGTTGAAGAGCTTATGACGGCTCTGATACCAAATGATAGAACCTGGGATTAGGGTTCTATCGGAAATTGGGGATTTAGAGATTAAGAACAGAATTAGGGATTTGAGAAGAGAAAGATAGAGAATCGGCCTAGGCCTTTAGAGGGTTTGAGAACGAGATTTGGGAGAATTGGGAGAATAGGGTTTAGGAGATTGTTTCTTAATATTCTTCTTGTCTGATTATGAATGAAGGACCAATTACATATTTATAGCGAAAGACTAGAAAAACCTAATAGACTATCCTAATATGACTCAATAACTACTAACCATATCTAATAATATCCTAATTATAGTAATAATAATTATTATGATAAATCCCAAGAATTGGGTTTCCATCATTTTTCTCTTATGACCTCATATTTTAGCTATATAATATTGTAAATAAGTGAAAACCTTAATTTCTCCAATAATTTAACTACATTTTGGTTTCTTTCTTGATCTTTTAATGATAATAACGATTATTTCTAATGTTTTTCACATAAATTAGATACCCATTGGGTCGACCTGCCACGACCTGTGTCCCGTGGTAAATTACCCGACCTGGACCCGACCTGCCATGGGGCGAGTATGGGTATCTAGATAGGGGTGGGCATCCGGTTCGGTAAACCCGAACCGAACCGGACCGAAACCGAATATCATTAATTCGGTTCGGAATTCGGAAACCAATACCACACGTTTCGGAAACCAGGACATGCACAACCGAAACCGACTTCCGATAAACCGACCGATAAACCGAAATAAGAAAAAGAGATGACAGACTAAAAAAGCCCACTCAACTACATAGCCCAATTTACGGCCCAAAACCAGCTGACTGCCTAGCCCAACCTTGCTAAACCCTATTGCGGCCGATTCTCATCTCTTCAGCAGTCTCCGCCAACTCCGTCGCTTTCATATCTCATCTTCGTCCACCATAGAAAAACCAAAGAGAGAAAGAAACCAGGTCGGCTCTCCGCCATGAGTCCATCCTCTTTCTCTCCGCCCTAAGTCCGTCTCTTTCCTTCAACGCTTCAACCTAAAAAAAATTTGGAAACAGAAGCAAAGGTCAGAAATCAGATCTCATGATCCTCTCTCTTCAGCCAAAATAAGATCTCCAAACCGACATGCAACCCAAATAGAAACATAGCTTTGAGCTTCCTCATAGTCGGAATCGTTGTCTGAGAGCAAGATTGGCAGCAGGGTTGCATTTCATCTTCCTTTCTTTCTTTCTTCCTTCCCTTCTATTCTGCTTTTTTTTTCTCTCAGGGGCAATGGAAATTGGCCTAGTGGGGGGTTGGTTCAATGGTGGCGGATGGGATGGGTAGGAAAGGTAAGGAAGGTAGAGAGCTAGAGGGAGAAAAGTGTAGAAGGGAAAAAAAATGAGAGAGAGATGGAGAGGAGAAAAGTGAGAGAGAGTCAGAGTCAGAGAGGCGAGATAAATGGTCTGTGTGGGCTTGGGGTCTATTGTTGCCCAGCAACAAAAACGCAGCACAGCAGCATTTTCGGTTTTGGGCAGAAAACCGAATCGAACCGATTTATAACTCGGTTCGGGCAAACCGAACCGAGTTATAATTCGGTTCGAATTCGGTTTGCCATCCACTCGAAATCGGAATACCGGTACTCATCTGTTCGGTTCGGTTCAAACCGAACCGACCGAATGCCCACCCCTATATCTAGATACCAGCCCCGAACCTGCCCCATTGCCATTCCTAATTAGTGGTATGTCAGTTTAATGTAAAAATGTAAAAAAAAAATCATTTACATCTGGGTGAAGGCTCAATCATTATAAGGGTATAATCTTGTCCACAATCAAGGAGAAAACTCGATAGATACAGAGAAAGAATTCAAAAAATTGAAGCTCAATGAACCAAAATAAATTCAATATTATTCAATATCTCAATGTCTGCCCTAAAACTCATGTTTTTTTTTATGGTTAAATTAGAATTGCATTAAGAACCGACAACCATTAGCAAAAATGGCTAAGGCGTCTCTCAACACAAACAGAGAATCAGTACAATGAAACCTTCCTACACAGGGAAGAAAACTGAAAGAAGGAATAAACTACCCCAACACCCTATACTCAAAACAATCTAACAAACTCTGGTCAAGTTGGCACCGAAAACGAATGATGCACTTTGCAGCTAGTAAAAGTTGAGAATGACTTCTCGCATCCTTTGAGCCATACATCCTAGAGCAGCGCTCACGCCAGACTAGGCTTATCACCACACACCAAGCCAACCGATTGAAAGCATCCTCAGCCGTTGCACCACTCCATCGAGATACACA